AATAATTATTAAAATAGTCAAATAATTTATTTTACAAATTTGGATTTTTATACAAGGTAAGTAATCTTATCGAGACATGTTTGAGTTAATCGGTTAGATTTATACAAGTATAAAATATATTTTTAATTAGATTTAACCACATTTCAAAAGATTTATCTATTTAAAATAATATCGTGATTTGGTAAATAATAAAATGTAATCCTAATTTAAATAGGATTGGAAATATTTAACTATTTAAATATGTGTGATATAATTTAGTTAAAACTGAAACAATATAAAAAATAAAATATAAAAATACAGTAGATAAATATTTGATACACTTCTCTATAAATGATTTTGTAATAACGTTTTCAATCTTATTTTATTATTTAAATGGAGTGATCTAATTTTGTCTTTTGTCTTTGATTTTTGCAAGTTATAAATATTCAAAAGTAAAAATAGTTCAAATATAAATATGAGAAATAATTCATCATTATTTTGAAAAGTAGATATTTAAATAGTAAAATAAGATTAAAAGTAAAAAATTTTACCCAATCAAAACAGGACTAAGAAAAATTAATAATATTAAAAGATGTGATAAAATTTAATTGTAAATCAAATAAAAACATAAAAATTAATAAATAAATAATATTTTTCGCGATCAATGGTTTTGCAGTGACATTCTTACTTTGATTTTATTTATTTTAACGGGTGATATAATTTTGTTCACCATAATTAAATATTTTTTTTTATAAATTTATAAAAGATTAAATCTCAAACTCGCATATTTGCAGGTCCTTCATCTAGTGAAAAAAAAAAATTTGAAGAAAGGCTTTTGTCAACAAGATGCACTCAAGATTTATAAATTAGTGGGTTTAGTAGCATCACCACACAGTTTTCTTTTCAACAATATGCACACTATCACAAACCACTGAACTCACAAACCACTAAACTGTCATGATAGTGAATTCTCATCATGTAGATTTAATTTAAGATTCATCATGTAGATTTAATATATAAGATTTTGAATGTATGGATCATAGAGAAAGACTTACGATATTTGCATAATGTATGTGACTAGTCGGAAACGAATTAAAAGAGCATCTAATTGTGGAAAAAAGGTGAAGAGAAATTCAACGTTGGGTTCAAATTTGAAAAACAGTAAGGTTAGGGCAGGTGGTGGAATTAATTAAGATTCGTCTCTATTTTCAGCGTCTCAACTACTTAATTAATCATTTTGTGTTTATATACATTTCATTTTTTGTTTTTATYYCAATCATACAGTTTATATCCATCCAAAAATCGTTATCATTATGATATGCCGACAAATTTAATATGTATGTTGAATATGAATACAGACTAAAAATCAGGACATATGTTTCATGTCTTCTTCTCCAACATATATTTTACTCTTATCAATACCATCTTCAAAACTTCCTAAGGTATTTAATACTATAATGCAAGAAAATAAGAAATTGCAATACTCTTTGAGTTTAAAACTTATATATTTGACCCACAAGAAGTTTTACATTTCAGACTAACCACTGGACAAAAGAAAACATTTCTATCATAATTGATTTTTCTTTTGTTATAATTTTCATATAAGCATACATTATTGGATATAACATTGGTTGGAAAAAAAACATGCAACTTATCTTCTCACTTTCTATGAGAGTACTATAAGAATATGCACAACAGTATACGGACCAACCCAAAAAAAATGGTCCGACTTATATAACTAAAACTTAACCAGACCATCAACCAAAACTTTCAGGTTCACTCACTGCTAAAAGGGGTGGTCGACTGTTTCAGAGGAACCGGTAGCTCGAGAACGATTTGGAAATAAGAGCGTTCGAATTCCCTTATGTACTGAACCTCTCCGTTCATTAGCTTCAGTATCTTTCTGCAAACGCTTAGCCCTAATCCTTCTGGACTCGTCCACCGGCTACTCTGGAACATGTCTTGCACTTTCTCCGGCGGCACACCTTCCCCTGCACACGCCATTCTAAGCAACAAAACATCGACAAAATGAGTCCGAATGTTCGCTGTTTGATAAATCAATCTCCTTAAGGCAAATGCGCACGGTCAATAGTGTGTTTTAGTTATCATTCCATACCCTAATTCTATGGTTCTTAGATTCGGCTAAATATGGAATCTGCGAGACAAAACCGGAATGATGAAAGGTACCTGAACTCCATGCGTATAGCAGAGAACCCGTCAGCCAGTTGTTTCAGAACCGGATGTAGATGGAGTTCCACAGAGCCTCCGGTAGGTGCATAACGAACAATACTTAGTAGAAATTCAGCCAAAACTTGTTGGATCCTTATCTGGTCACCATAAACAGCCATGGATTTGACTTCCATTGGAATGTTACGAATCAGCTGAAGATTTCTATCTCTCACCACCACCATGGCTTGGCATACCACTGCGTTTATGACGCTGCTAATGAAGAACTCTGTTCTATCTAACTCAAACGAACTGATGAGCAAAAAAAACAGAATGTTTGTTTTGTTGTGTAAATGAAGCTTTATAGATAAGTTTAAATTTGTGTGTGCGAGAACTATTACCCGTCTTCAATGCTTTTGGCGTCCATGTTTCCTACAATCTTTGAGATCTGCTTCTCGCATGAAACACTTGTTTCAAGAAACTGCTTTTGGTCCTCGTTCAAGTCTGTGGTTTCCAACAATGAATTTGTGAAATGCAAACCGCTCAATGGATTCTTTATCACTTGGAAAATGTAAGCCAACTCTTTCCCCCTTGAGAAGCATTCGCTCTCTTGCCTCCTCTGGATCTCTAGAGCTTGCTGCAGCTCGAGACTCGGTATCTGTAAGAAACAGAAAGCCCCAGTGACCTGACCATCGAAGCTGACTCTTTTGTTCAAAGTCAGGAGAGCCTGAATGAATTTCCCTTGGCGGTCAAAAAACGGGAACGGGAATTTATCCGTGTCTTGGCCACCAATCGCATTATGCAAAACGATCATGAACTTAGTCAATGCATCAGGACCCTTTAGTCTGCAACAGCTACCAAACACTTCCCTAACAAGCAATTTTCCAATCACTTCGCTGCGAGGCCAGCCTGTGAGCTTTTCCATTGCGGTGTTCCATTCCAGGCAGCAAGTGTTCTCATCAGCTGCAAAGATCGGAGGGATCAGCGGGTTTGGGCTATGGATGATGGCCTTGTAGTCGCCTTGTATGTTGATGAATTTGTCCATAACAATTTTCTGACCAGTAACGTCTTGTGCCACAAAGCAGACCCCAACGATGTTGTTTAAGTAGTCCTTGCTCGAACATGCGTTGACAACCACAAACACTGCTTTCCCTTGCAGCTCGGAACTGAAAATTTTCAGCTTGACCTCCACATTCTTGCCTTCGTCCCCTGCACAATTGTAAAATGCCAATATATTATCAGAATCTACATTTCAGAGTCCTTGCACAAGTTGAAAGTTTAATATACCTTTGAGAGCACGAGAAAGAAGCCTATCAACTGTCTCTTCGTACTCTTTGTATATCAAATCACGAACCAGAGACTTTCCCATAGCATCTTCAACAGAAAGACCAGTCAGCTCAGCGATCTTGGCGTTCCACCCATTGATGCAGCCGTCCATGTCCACAGCAAATATAGGGACCATCGCAGTCTCAATGAGCCTAACCATCTCTCTCGCAACTGCACCTATTACCTCAATCCTTTGTTCTGCCATATCCTGTCCATGTGGCTGAACCGCCCCAGCTGCAGCGGCTTTAGAGTCCATCGCTTCGGACTCTTTGAAAGAGTCTCTTAGAATAAGCTGCAGCGAGTGAATCGCATCCATTTCAGCAGTTTCCCATGGCTGACAACGGCTCTTAACAACTTCGAGAAAAGCCTTGAACGAAGAACGCGGGTTCATCCTCTGGCCATCATCTTTGTCCTCAGGATTGTGCTTAGCTCCTCCCCATTTGATTTCTTTCTCGGTATGAGATCGGAACCAGAAAAGGAAGTCCCTTTTTGTGATATACGCAACAGCCATACCGCACACAGCATTCCCTAAAGCAGCTGCCCGAGGATATCCTGCATCGCCTAAACTATCCGTGCTTAACCCCGTTGAATCAGAATGGTTAGCAAGCAACCACTCCACAATGTCATTTATCTGAGCCTCAGTCGGAGCCACACCTAACGAATAATACTTCCCTCGGTAAAGAAAGGCCGCACCGTTACATTTAACTAAATCCATGATACTAGGACTCTGTGTGACAATCCCAGCAGGGGAATCACGCAGAAGCATATCGCATAACAAAGTCTGCATTCTCAGAATTCGTTTCTCAGACACTTGCAACGCTAACTGCAACTCCATGTTTAGCTGTAAACCGAAAGCTTGCATCAGAAACTCGCAAGCGTACCTTAGAGGAAAAGGTATGCAACGAGCCGATGTGTGATGGCAAACGATTAATCCCCAAAGCCTCATCGCGTTTCTTCCTCCAAAATTAACACCGTTCCCGTCTTCTTCGTTCCCATTAATTATCACTGCCATAGCTAATGACGCAATAGAGCCCATGTTAGCCATGTATTGAGCGTGACAACCATGAGGAGCTCGTAGAGTCGAACCAACCAAGCATATAGACTGCGTGAGCCTATCATCTTGGACCACACGAACCGGTGAAGCATGGCAATCAACGATCATCCTAACACGGTTCTGCTTGAACAAGAACCGAGATGCCTGAGGAATATCAGTAGCCGGATAATGCAGACCAATGTAAGGTTCTAAATCGTCACGTTTACTCTCCGCTACGACCTCACCGTGTTCGTCTTCATGAAACTTGTACACCATAACACGGTCGTAGCCAGTGAGATCTCTCACACTTTCCACAACAGTGTCACATAGAAGCTTAATATCGCCTCCAGGAAGCGATTGTAAATGTGAAATCGCACGGACCGCGAGTTTCTGAGATTGGACCGCACCGGCGATTGAAAGCGCAGGGTCTTCGGTTCTAGCTGGCTCTAAATCGATCACGATTCCTACGTCTACCCTGTGGAGAATCGCATAAAAAGGCTTACCATTGTTCTTAGAGTGAATCCAAGTCGGATTCAAGAGCGTGATTTCAGGAGCCACGAACGCTCGTTCGAGGAGAACGATGCTCGATGGCTTGAACAGAGATCGCAAATCCGTGCCGATGGCTAAAACCTCCGACGTCTCCTCCATGTTTGGGACCGATTGTGACATGAGCCCTAGCATTTCCCGCGCATTTTCACTGTAACCGATAATGGTGAAGGTTGATTCCTCGACGGCGATCAAACATCCGAAAGGCTGGATATAGCCGCCGCGTTGGATCCGTGAGAGATAAGCAGTGATCTGCTGTTCCGGTACGGATGAGCAAAACGTCGTCGTTTTAAGGGACTGTGAGTAATCGAACGACTTGCCGGACTCACCGGATTGTTCGAAGACGGCGTGAAGCCTCGCGTCGACGGTGTACTGTTGTATAGCTTTGCTCACGGACTCCGTGCCACCGCCGTGGTTTTGCGGCTGATTATGTGACCTTAGTGGTTTACTTGCCGACGATTGAGCTTTTTCTCCGCGGTGATTTGTCGTGTGAAGGCTCTGATCAACGCGATGGCTTGACGAAGCTGCTCCATCGCGAACCTTATCGCTACCTTCGCCACCGCCTCCGGAGACCATGTTTTCACTTGGTAACTCCAAATTACAGCGAGAGATGAAGAAGATCGTCGTCGAACATCAGATTCGGATCCATAATTTCAACTGGGAAGAGTAATTCTTCCACGTTCTCTAATAATTAGGGATTACCGGAGCAAAATTAACACCGGAGATGACTCGACGGCGAAGTATTTCATCAAATTAAGAAACCAGAACTAGTTTATGAAAAAATTTCTCGGGAAAAATCGGAGAAGAGACTGAGAAATCGATCGAAAATGGGGGAAAGTTTGGGTTCTCTGTACTGCAATTTCTGACACAAACCCCAAAAACTTTGTGCTATTATCAATTTAAACCAAATTAAAAAATCTCGGCGAAATTCAATTTGATATTTTGTTCGTTTTTTGAGGGACCGAGATCACATGGGTTTGTGGATTTTTCCCGTCTAGTGCACGAAGGAATTGAGAGGTAGTATATATATATATGTGGGCCATAGGGCATGGGTGTATATATTAATTTAAATCAATTATTGGAAATAAATTACTTGGTTTGGTTGGCTCATTATTTATTCCCTTCCCTCTTCCACATGTTAGAGAAACACAATACAACAGCTAAACTAACGTGACGAAAAAAAATCATAACCGTAGAATTGGAATTGAAA